GCAGGCCCGCATTCGGCGGAGGGGTAGGCCGCGGCGGGAGAGGAGTGCCGGTATTTCGGTGCGCCGTTCTCCCTACCTTCCGCGGCCTAGACGGGGCCGCCACCGTTTGATGGCGGACGCGGTGGGGCTGCAGGGGAAGAGTAGTGTCGGTGTTTCGTTGCCGCTCTCCCTGTCCTCTGCAGCCGATTGGAGGTGGCCCACTTCGGTGGGCGGTGTTATGGTTTTATGGGGCTGCTCCGGGTACCTCTCTGACGTAGCAGAGTTGACTGTGGAGCAGCCCCATTGGTTTGGTGGTCTGCCTAGTATTTAGGCAGACCTGCCGCCGGGGCGCCGTAGTAGTTATGCGCAAGCGATCCTGCGGCGTCCCACTAAGGCGGGGGGAAGGGATGTCGGGTTTTAGTGGGTAGTACCGGCTCTTCTAGCCGGTGAGCCCCACATCACCACCTGGGGGATCAGGTGGTATGCGTAAATGCATTTCCCGACGATGGCTTGCGCGAGTAAGAGAAAGCATTTTATGCCGTATTTTCATCCCTCTGAGATAATTGTAAATATTGATCCTATAGTTCCGGGAGTTTGATCTTATTTTTAAAAAAAATCCCTCTATTTTTGAATCTTTTTTTAGATTTAAAAATTCTCAATCAGTTTTTGAGATATTTGCAAAAAACTAAACCCCCTTTTTATTTTTAGTTAATTGTTTATAACTTTGCAATTTTTGCAAGCGGAACTTTATTTTCAACCGACTTCATTTTCAAAAATCATCTACATTCTATTCCGAATCGAATGACAACTCGTTGATATTTTTCCGAGACTGCTGAAAAAAGTTGATCTAAAATGCACTTGTTGAATAAACTGTATCTGTTAGTAGATAACTATAAAAAACCAAAAATTAACTTAAAAGTCATTTTATGTTACAAAGTAACTTTTTAGTATATCTATAAATATGTGTTTTTTGTTACGTTAGATATTAATGAATGATTCTAAATGCAGATGTAGGATCAATGTCCACTGGACTTTGTCAACTGTGTCAGCGGTCGCGCCAACGCGTATTTATAGACGTAATGTGATTATTTACGTGATTTGTTTTTATTTTACTTTATTACAAGTGTAATTTAAATATATTTATTTAAATGTTAACTTTTTAATGTTCAAAATGCATTTATCGAACTCAGTAATAAAGTTAATGATATCCAAAAAATTGTACATAAATGCAATAAAATATTCTATAATAGGTATTTTATTTCTATATCTAAAGATTTATGACATTAATAAGTTACATTGTAAATATTTGTATTGAAAGAAGTATTAGGTAATATAGCAAGATAACATTTTATGGGCATCGCCACGGAAGATAACAAACAATTCTCTTACGTGGGCACCACAAATATACATATACTCATAGAATATTATTTTTCATTTTATTTTCCAATATGTACTAAAATCTAAATAGAAAAAAATTGTTCATGTCAAGTAAAATATTAAAATTTTCTAAAACAAAAACATATCACATAATTTCTTTATCGGAGCGTTTACACAAGATATTCATATTAAGGAGGTATGAGATTATTTTTATGTTCTAGTTCTTACATATATAAAGAAGTTTAAAAACGAATGCTTATTTTATACTTTGCCACGAAATACCTACTGAGTATCAAATACAATCATTCGATATTCAGTTAAAAATATTTATTATGACTCACAATTTGTGAGATAAAAACTTTAATATGAATGTATTTTCAATTGAAAGATTACTCTAATTTAGAGGTCGTTGTCCTTGACGCATGGGACCATACCGCGCAGGCCAATGAGAGAGCACCGCGCCTTAATACCAACCTATCAGGAAACGGCTCTGTATATTGATTCTATGGTACATTACAAATTACTTCAGATTTATCTGTCGGGCAACTATCATGAATAGGACGAAATTTTTGTTTGTTAGTCCTTCTCACTGAAACGACTTGGCGGATTTGCATGAAATTTTGTACAAAGATAGATAATGACCTGGAGTATTACATCACTACAGTTAGACTAAGGGACGCTACTGCTTAAGATGATAATTTTATATTTGTTTTGTCTAAGTGCACTTTCTCACAGATTTTTTCAACAGGGCTTGGTCACAGAGTTATGCCATTTCTATTGATATAACAAAAATAAGTACAAAGTTAACTGTTTTATGTCTTAAACCTGCTGTATTATAATCGTGTTTTCTCCGGAAAGCCATAGGCTTTAATGTTGTTAAATTATAATATGTTATTTACAAAAAAGAAAATAACAAATATACTTAATTATATATACAAAACATATGTACACTTATTTATTACTGTACAAGTCATGTCCGCGTGGAATAGTGGCAAGAATGCTAGCCGCATTCCCCCGTTGAATGGCAATGCCGATTCTTTGGGCGAAAAATGCGCCAGCCCTCCTGTCACCAGTAGAGGTGATAAGACGGGGTGTTATGTCTTTTGTGTTGTTAAATTAAAATCTCAAGATCTAACATGTTGATTTTTAATCGAAATATGAGAACGATTCTTTCCAGGTACATTCGGCTAACATTACGTGTTATCACGGTAATGTTACATGCATTACATTACAGTGGTGTTATCCTCATTTTCATTGCATTATAATATACATTGGCTATATTGCCGGGCACTACTGAGCCCTACACCACGATAAGGGGAACGCACGTTGGGGGGTGCATTTACGATACTTTAACTTATCCTTGTAACTAGTGCTAGATACTTTATCACGACGTATAAATAATTCCCACGGGATACGCTACGTCACTTGTTCATAATATTTATCAAGGAAAATGAAATAACAAAAATAATTATTGCACAAATAGAAATCATTAAGGAAAATGTTTTCCAACATTAGCACATATTTTGCTTATACATATTAATTAACCAATGTAGATACATTAACTAAACTCTTCCGTAAACACAATTTTTTGCACTACTAATATATAATACATTTGTTTCATGTATCTAGTGCGGTAAAATAATAACTGCTTTACTTGGCAAAAATCCAGTCAGTCAAAAATAAGAATTTATATTTTCTGCATAACAGATTATTCACGCTCGACGTAAGCGTTAAATTTTTTATCAGTGTAAATTATTTGAGTCTATACTATGAGTAACTATACCTACACGCGAATGTGAGTTCGTTTGTATGCATAAACTCTTGACACCTTGACTTAATCGTAATAAAATAATAAAATGAGATTATGTAGTAAAGGTAAAAAAAGTTACTGAATTTTAGTTACTAGGTATTCATTTTGCAACGGACGTACAAAAAGAAGTCTACTAATTACCGATATATCTGCTTATTCAATAGTGTATGTATGTATGTAACGTATACGATAACTAGAATACTTTTATATTTATTACTGTGTTTTATTACTGTGTTAAACCGTATATTTATTACTGTGTAGGTATAACAGTAAATTTTACAGTATAGAAAATATGTAAATTGAATAGTAAAGTAGTTTTGGTTTCTAATATGAAGGTGTTAAGAAAACCCATTCGCTACTCATAATTTTTTTTATCTGGAACGTTCAACTTAACACTATTAAACCCTATTGCAATAGAGGAATGCGGTAGTGCGGATAAGCCACTTGGGCTCGTTAGTGGTTTACTTCTAAGAAATATCAATGATGCCGGTATTATTTCATTGAGATGCGCCTGCGCCTGCGTCTCTAAGGGCCATATATTAGATCACTCAATAATTTATATCACATATACCAGAAGTCCATTTGCACATAGACCAAGCCAATTATCTAGGGAAACTGACTTATCGGATATCTCTAAGAATATAGCGGTAAATGAAATTGTAAAAAAAATATTGAATTACTAGCAGAACAATTTACAAAAAAACTTTTTGACAATATGTTATGTATACCTACAGCGACTCGCTTCGCCGCTATGTATTTATATAGGTAATACTAGCAGAACCCGCGGCTTCGGTCGCGCTAAAACTACATAAAAGAACTCTAAAATGGTAGGTTTCATACAAACTTTCATCCGCTATTTTACCCCCTTATGGGATGAATTACGAAAAATACTAAAACACCTATTTAATTAATTGTATTAAAGAGCATTAATACCAAGTTTCAAGTAATTCTGATCATAAATATTTTTACATGTTTTCCTGTGGGAAAGAGATAATTCCCCGAAGTAAAAAATAGCCCATGTCACTCTGCAGCCCTTCAACTATCTCCAAAAAAAATCGCGCCAATCCGCCAAGCCGTTTCGACATGAAAGAAAGACAAACAAACACACACACTTTCACATTTATAATATTAGTATGGATTGTTCACATAATATAAATATAAATAATAATATAAATAAACCGATAACACCATATGATAAGGTAGCCATACTGTTTATTTTTATTATATGTAGTAAAAGGCGGACGCCCTATTGACCGAAACATTTACAAAGTAAAAACGCGATTAGATACAACAAAACCATTATATTTTTAATACATCAATCATTTTTATTCACTGTAGTCTAGCCTTAAAGTATTATGTACACATAATTTATTTAGGGCTAGTTTTCGCGTGCGGTTTTACACGACTTTTCCATAAATAAACCCCTGCGGAGTACCTATATAGGTATAGAGAACGTTGTGACACTCAGTTTTACCTTTTCGTATACGCTTTTATATACATATATACTCGTATGTATTATATGTATAGGCATCCTTAGAATTGTAGCGTAATACTCACAACTACGTTTGAAGCAAGCCGAAATTAACACTTGCATGATCAATTCAATATTTCAGGACTGTAGTGAGACCCAATCAAAAATATGTACGCCGACTCCGCTTATATTAAAATTAAAATGAAAAGACATAAAATATAATTTATAATAAACTGATTATAACATCATTTTCGGAAGTTTTTTTTTATTAATTCAAAAATTATTGCATAACTAAAAGCACATATGTATAGAAAGAGAAAAGGCCATTTTCTTTTACACTATATAGGGCCTATTATTTTCCAGGTGTTGGTCTCATCACCCGCAAAGCCGCAAACGCTGTGACCCCTACTGTAGAGCTGCGTCAGGACGGCGACACCTACATACTGGTCACATCTTCCACCTTCAAAACCACCGAGATGAAGTTCAAGCCCGGTGAAGAGTTCGATGAAGAACGTGCTGATGGAGCTAAGGTATGAAATCTATACATACATATCTATCTATATATATATATAAAGAGTTTTTATGCTTATCTCTAAATCTACTGGTCATCAGACCAATCTGTTAAAAACTTTTTGCTATTTTTAGCGTATTTATTGAGAAAGGTTAAGGCTATCTGCCATACTACGCCCTGCGAGAGCAGAGTAATTATACAAAATTACTTGTTAATAACGCGGGCGGAGCCGCGATAAAACGATAGTTGATAAATTAATATAATAGTGGTAAAATATTTCCAGTTTAGATGTATCATCATCATTCATTCATCATTGAGACTAGTCATCTGCGCAGGAGATATTATAGTGCACAAATGTACGCGCAGACACAAGTGCAGATATATTCCTGTCACTCTCATACTCCGGTGGGACGACTGCTCGACACGACCAGTGAGACTTAAGGCGCAGGACCGACGGCTTTACGTGCTCTCCTAGGCACGAAGGTGAAACACCGCCAACTTCCCAACTCCGGGCTGTTACTGAGGCTTACTAAACAAAGACTCAGTAACTAAACTTGGCCCGACCTGGGACTTGAACCCAGGACCTCCGGATGTTCAACCGTATATGCTAGCCACTACACCACCGAGGCAGTTTAATAATTCATCTGAATCTGAAAGTCTGATAAGATTTTAGATAGTGGAAGATAAATCTCGACACAATCATTGTATGTTAATATTTATCTATAACATCTCTTATCAAACCAAGTTACAAGTATAATTTTGTTAAACAACTAGATAACATTACTACTTAGTAGTCAGATAACTGGGCAAATGCCTATATAGATTTCTTTAATAAGTAAAAGCAAAGGGGCCTCATTTTATGATTGGTCAGATCAAATTCCTAATTAGTCAAATTGTCCAAACAATCGAAACAACAGAAAGATTCCATTGCTTAATTTGTTTCAGATTGACGCTCTGATTGTCGATTGATCGATCGTTTAGAAGTCGCATGTAGTGTAAGAAGCTAAATGCTAAATTCAATAATTATGTTCTTCTATTATCTCAATCGATAAACATTAAAAATTAACAAAATTTTAAAGACTTTATGACATACGTTTTGACGAAAAAATATACTTTAGTACTTTTGTATCTTAGTTTAAGGAATATTCATAATTCAAATATTCATAATAGGAGAGACCACGTCTCTCCTCTCTCCCATCGGTCTCTCCCGGGACCGTGATTGCTGTAAAGCCTTCGAAACATCGGGAACCAAAAATCAAAATAAATCCGCGAAATAATCCGAAAAGATACTTTTATTTAAAACTAGCATTGCCCGCGGCTCCGCCCGCGTTCACATGACCAAATACCAAATTCTTAGGTTTTATATATTAGTATATTGTTACATTGCAGTTTTTGTATTTTTTCTCATAAATGAGATATTTTCCCGCGGTAAAAACTATCCTATATGTAGATCCGGATAACCAGCTATCACCGTACTAAATTACATCAAAATTCCTCCAGTGGTTTTTCCGTGATGCGGTAACAGACAGCTGTCTGTCAGTGTTTCTATTTTTTCTCAAAAATGAGATAATTTCGGTAATAAGTATCCTATATGTTGATCCGGATAACCAGCTATCACCATACCAAATTTCATCAAAATCCCTTTAGTGGTTTTTCTGTGATGCGGTAACAGACAGGCAGACAGACAGACAGACAGACAGACAAAAATTCTAAAAACTATAGATTCGGTCTCTATATCGATAATAATGTATATTCCAATAGGATTTTCCAAAAAATATTTAATGTACAGATTCGGCTTAGTTTCAATCTATCTTCTATACTTATAATAAATCTGTAGAGAGGTCAATTCTGTACATGAAATATATTTCCAAAATAACCTATCAGGGAGTGATTAGGGATCGATACTGATGCCAAAAATGCAATCAGTAAAATTTTTGTCTGTCTGTCTGTCTGTCTGTCTGTATAACCGTTATAGAAACAAAAACTACTCGACGGATTTTAACGAAACTTGGTACAATTATTTTTCATACTCCTGAACTGGTTAAAGTATACTTTTCATCACGCTACAATCAATAGGAGCAGAGCAGTGAAGGGAAATGTTGGGAAAACGGGAGAAGTTACTCCATTTTTTAAGCTTCCGTCGCGTGTGCGACCTTAATGGTTAAAGCTACACAGAAATCATGTATGACGGAAATGTTCTCCTTTAAATTATATAAAAAATATCCCACGACAGCATATGTCTACCTTTTATGGTTGACTCACAATAACACGTGTAACTCCCGATAGCTTAGCAGTTCGAAGCTTTCTGATTTATACTTGTCTACTCTTACGTTTATAACACTCTCAGTCATCCCTAATTAAAAAAGTTAACATTATAAACTATTCCATAAAAAAAAATCATAGAAATCGGTATAGAAACACCAAAGTTATACATGAAATACGCTAATAATAAGCCATCGCGAGTCAGGGGGATGTAAGAAGACAAATAGAACAAATCCAGATTTTTTTCAATTTTTTTGTTTCTCTGTCTGTTTGTCTGTTTGTACGGGCTAATCTCCGAATCTATTGGACCGATTTAAATGAAAATTTGCATGGTGGTACCTTATATCCCCGGACAACGCCTTAGATATTTTTTATCCCGGAAAATTAAATGGTTCCCGTGGAATAGTTGGTATGGTATGGTATGTTCGGGCTGTTTTCCGCAACTCGACGACTATGCGCCTATTTTGCGTGTGTGGGAATTTAAATTCTTGTTACTCTTGCCATCCCAGTTCCTCCAGGAATTTCAGCAACCTCTTTGTCTTGCCGAAGATTTCCGGGAGTGACCTAGGAGTGCCAAGATGTTGAGCCCGGTACTCCGCTACACCTGGACAATACAAGATCACATGTGCAGCCGTTTCATCTGCCCCCATGCATGCCCTGCAAAGTGGACTGTCAGTTATACCTATATTAAATAGATGTTTATTATATGGTCCGTGGCCGGTTAAGGCCGCGGTTATTTGCCTGAGTTGAGGTCTGTTAAGTTTGATGATACGGTTCGACATTTTGGCATCAATATTTGGAAGCGATTCTTTCGCCTGTCTGCAGTCTACAACTTCACGCCAAACATTGTTGTGTTGGCGTTTAGTTCGTTGTCGAATTTGGCCTTTGAGCCAGCAAGAAGGTAACGAGACGATGGGCTCTGGTCCTATCGCCGTCATGTCCGAACCCCTTCTTGCTAGCTCATCTGCCCTATCGTTCCCCCACGAGTTACTATGGCCTTTGATCCATTGTAAGGTGATCTCATTCCGGTCACTTACCTGTGTCAAGGCCTTATGACATTCATAGATCATACCTGATGTGGTAGAATTACTATTTAATGCCTGTAGTGCTGACATGCTGTCTGATAGTATGCGGATGGAGCAGTCTTCCACCTTCTTCATCGCAATTGTTCTAGCTGCCTCAAGGATACCTAGACTTTCAGCTTGAAACACCGTGTTGTAGGTACCCAGAGGTATTGAAGTTTTAATGTTTAGATCATCGGAGAAAATGCCACAGCCAGTCCCCGATTTGGTTTTCGAGCCGTCGGTGTAGATTCTTAGGTCCTTGCTGTCGCGACCCTCACATGTATCTTCCTCCAGCTGTATTTTATATTTTTTGTCAAAAATATATTTTATTTGTATTCCATCATTGGGTGCTCCCATGAGAGGAATGTCTTTGGCAACGTCTATTAGGATTTTTGTGTGTGGAGTGCCTGTTTTCCTTAGCAGTTTTTGACTATCTAGTCTTATCGCGGTAGTCGCAGCCTCTTGTTGTATAAACAAGTGAAGCGGTAAAAGGTTTAGCATGGCTTCGAGTGCTGCGGTTGGTGTTGTTCTCATGCAGCCCGTCACTGCCATGCACACCAACCTTTGCCAGCTTTGTAGCTTGGTTTGTGCTGTGGTCAAAAGTGTTCTACGCCACCATATTAAGGCACCATAGCTGATCATAGGTCGTATTACCGATGTATATAGCCATAAAGTTATTTTGGGATTGAGGCCCCATTTTTTACCTATCATCCTTCGGCATTGCCAGAAGGTGATACTGGCTTTGTTTAGTAAATTGTCTAGGTGTTTAGACCAATTTAGTTTACTATCCAGAGTGATTCCAAGGTATTTTACCTCTGTGGTTAATGTTAAGGTGGAGTTAAAGAGTTTCGGCAGGGTGTAGCTTCCTAGGGTTCTTTTGTTTGTGAACATTATTAGTTCTGTTTTGCGTGGGTTGACACTCAGATTATAGTCATAACACCATTTTTCGACTATATTTAGTGCTGAGTTAATTCACAGACTGTACTTGTGAATTTGCCCGTTACAAGGATGGCTAGGTCATCTGCATAGCCTATCGTATAATATCTGTTGTTGTTGAGCAGGGTTATTAGGTCGTTGACTACTAGGTTCCATAAGACGGGTGAGAGTACTCCTCCTTGAGGACATCCTTTGGCCACGATGGCACCTTGTTTGTTGCTGTTACCTAGCCTGACCACTCTATTCGCTAGCATATATTGGATCCAGTCAGCTATTGCTGGATTCACCTTATGTCTGCTGAGTGCGGCTTTGATAATAGTGAAGTTGGTTTTGTCGAAAGCACCTTCAATGTCAATGAAGGTGCCTAGACAAATGTCCTTGGTATCTAGTGCCTCTTCAATTTTGTATACTACTGCATGAAGAGCTGATTCCGTTGATTTGCCTGAACTATAGGCATGTTAATTCCTGTGTAAGGGTGTTTTCGCTAAAGCGTTATCTCTCAGGTGTCTATCACATAATCTTTCCATAGTCTTAAGTAGGAATGATGTGAGACTGATTGGTCTATAGGATTTTGCATCCGAGTAGTCTGTTTTACCTGGTCTCGGTATGAATATTACTTTAACCTCTCTCCAGGTTTTAGGCACGTAGCCAAAAGCCAAACATGCCTGGTATATTTTGTTAAGTGTGTGGTGCAGTCTCGGGCCTCCCCATTGTATAAAGGCAGGGTAGATTCCATCTAGACCCGGTGCCTTGAATGGTTGGAAGCTTTTGATGGCCCACGTTATTTTCTTGGGGTTTATGACCTCTGACGCAACTTGCCAGGAGATGTCTGTTGCCTTGTGGTGTATGTCTAACCACTTGTGTTCATTAACCATTGTGCAGTCGGGAAAATGCGTCTGCAGAAGCACTTGGTGTGATTCTTCTAATGATTTGGTATAGGTGTTATCTGGTTTCCTTAGTGAACCCAGTTCTCGTTGTGACTGTCCGGTGAGGATATTCCGGTTTCTGTTAGCCTGTATAAACGATTCTATGGAATCACAGTATTTCCGCCATGCACGGTTCCTCCAATATCTTATACGTTTTTTGTACATGGCCTTGACATTCTTGTACTGGTCCTAATCTTGATCGTTATATGTATTCATAGCCCTGTTGAAGGCTTTCCTAACCTTGTTCCTAAGGCGTTTTAACTCTGGACCCCACCACCGTGGGATAGTTAAAAAACTATTATAACATATACAACTTATGCACCTAATTTAGTAAATTTTAACATTCTGATACCTTATATTGCCGGTTAAACAACAGGTTATTTTTCATCCGGGAAAAATGAACGGTTCCCGTGGGAACTAATAGATTTCTATTAGTGTTTTTCTAGATGCGAACCCGAGCGAAGCGAGGGTGAGCTGCTAGTTTTATTATATGTATAGATGTCAAATATTCGCGTAAATCTAAGATTCTTTCGATTATTCAAAAATATATTTACTCTTAAAGCTCTGAAATACATTCTAATGTTCTTTTTCTTTCTTAATATTATTCAAATATCTTGGATATGGCTAAAATATTTAAATTGTAATATTTATATTTAGAATCTTGGTTGTCCAAAGTAAAGGTTAAGGTTAAGTGGTCCTAAGAAAATAATCAGTCTTCTTATTTTAACACATAATATGTAAAATGTACCTACATAGTTCCGTTGTATGCTTCGATCGTAACAATTCCACCAAATAGGTATAATTTAAAAGACATATATCATACTAGCGAGTCACCCTCGCTTCGCTCGGGTTCGTCCCTTCTTATGTTTTGTATAGATTTCTCAAAGATTAATTATTTCCCCGCTGTAAAAAGTATTCTATTTGTTAACCCGGGTAACCAGCTATCACCATACCAAATTTCATCAAAATCCCTCCAGTGGTTTTTCCGCGACGCGGTAACAGACAGACAGACAAAAATTCTAAACACTAGATTCGGCCTCTGTATCGATAATAATGACTATTTTAATAAGATTTTCCAAAAAATATGTAATGTACAGATTCAGCTTAGTTAAAATTTTATTATATGTATAGATAACTGGTTTGAAACTGGATACCGACAATGCATCGAAGCTGGTTATGTTCTTTATTTTTTGGGACTTAATTCAAGGCTCTTACAAATTTTAGATTTAAATGTTTACATGATCCGCACCCGAAGAGTCTATTCGAATCCCTAAGTAACCCATGTTGTTCATCCGTCTCTGTCCATACTTTTAAAGACCTATGTGTCACATTTTTTTAAAAGTTGAAAAGATTTATCGTTTATTTTTATTTTTTTACATGCTATTTAGGATTGAGCAACTGACACATACAGATAAGACCACGGTCACAAGATGTAGGTCTCTTCATTTTATTATTAGACAGCAGAATTCTTTTATGAACTCATCATAATAATAAATCTCAAAGCAGTAGTAAGCGGCAGCAAGACTTTAATTTTATACCATTCAAGTTTATGATAAAAAGTGCAAACTTAAACAGACAGGCGTTGTACAGTTTTTCTTTTGTAATGCGTCAAACGGCATCAGCTTTATAGCTTCGTGGAATGAGTATAAATGAAATATGTAATAAACATTGTTGTTTTTCATAGCGGATTTATTATAGTCTCTTGTACTTTATGGCTTTAGTTTTTGAAATTTGTTTTAATCTCCTATAACATAACGGTTGAAATATTTATTTTTTCAAAGCGTTGGCTTCATGTATAGAATAACTTCCTAACTAACTAACTAACCTAACCTAACCTAACCTAACCTAACCTTCATTTTAAACGATGTTTGGAAATATTTAGTTTCTTTTCTTATTAGGAAAAAAGCTATAAATATTTTATTATAATAAACCAATGTAGTGGCTAGCATGTACGGCTGCACATCCGGAGGTCCTGGTTTCGAGTCCCAGGTCTTGCCAAGCTTAGTTACTGCATCTTTCTGTAAAAAAGTCCCAGTAACAGCCCGGAGTTGCGAATTTGGCGGTGTTTCACCCCCGTGCCTCGGAGAGCACTTAAATCAGTCTGTCCTGCGCCTTAACTCTCACTGGACGTGTCGAGTAGTCGTCCCATCGGAGTATGAGAATGACAGGAATAGAGAGTGCACTTGTGCACTCCCATGCAGTTGATTGCTAGTCTCAGTGAGATTGACCGCCGTGGCCGAAATCGGTCGTTAGGACATTATAATTATAATAAAACAAAAGGCATTTTAAAATATTGTTAATACTATTTATATTTTCAGGTGAAATCAGTGTGTACTTTCGAAGGCAACACTTTGAAGCAAGTGCAAAAGGCGACCGATGGACTCGAAGTCACTTATGTGAGGGAATTCGGTCCTGAAGAGATGAAGGCTGTAAGTAAACTAAACACCCACTGATAATAAAGATAAACCGTCCAAAAATAAAATACCGGCTTTGATAACTTACTCAATGATAAAGATAGATGTTAATATAACATTTTTGTATGACTAACATTTACCTACTATGAAGTAATTCACGATTACAATTCTCAAATGTATTATTTTTCCTGAAATACCTATATAAAATACATCTTTTGACATATGGATTACGCGAACAATTCCTGTAAGCAGGTGATTGCAGGACAACCTTATTTCGGATCTTGTACTATTATTATATAAATATAGACTAGCTTGCTTCCCCATACGAACTTTCATCCCCAATTACACCCCCTTAAAGATGATTTTCGGGATAAAAAGTATCCTATGTCCTTCCCGGGGTCTCAAACTATCTTCTTACCAAACATCTAAATCGGCTGAGTAGATCCAGAGATTACCCCTTGCAAACAAACGCACAAACTTTCCTCTTTATAATATTAGTATAGATAATAACATGTTATACTAGCGCAAAATAGTTCAACAAAAACTTGTGATGGAAAACAAGAAAACAATAATGAATAAAATTTATTAATATGTAATAATACAAACTACGATACAAACGATGAAAGGTTAAGGGGGCACCGAGGAAATAATTGCGTTCGTTTGTTTGATCCCTTGCTGTATTGTCTATACATACATATAATAAAATTCTCAGTTGAATCTGTACATTAATTATTTTTTGGAAAATCTTATTGAAATAAACATTATTATCGAGAGGCCGAATCTATATGTTTTAGAAATTTTTGTCTCTCTATTTGTCACCGCATCACAGAAAAACCACTGAGGGATTTTGATGAAATTTGGTATGGTGGTAGCTGGTTATCCGGGTCCACATATAGGATACTTTTTACCGTGGGAATACGTCTCATTTCTGAGAAAAAATACAATAACTGCAATGTAAGAGTATACTAATCTGTAAAACTTAAGAATTTTGTTTTTGATCATCTGAACGCGGGCGGAGCCGCGGGCAATGCTAGTTATTACTAAAACTTTAATTATGCAATTAATATGTAGAATTTATTCTATAAATCGTACACTTTAGAAACACGATTACTCGTAGTTTCCTATGTTTTCCTATGTTTTCGTATGTTTCCTGATAAAAAAAACCAAAATGATCTCTAAAAACAAGATAAACCCTTAGTGTGGCGTAAATAATTCAAGGAAGCTCATCAGTTTTTTAATAATAACAAAACTACATATTTGTTTTAATATTACGAAGGAAATACTTAAATTCCATCCTAGCCACACCCGCCGCCCCCCTCCTGCCCACTGTCGTCCTACTAAAATAAAAAGCTCGGTGCCCTCTTAATAGTCCAAGATCCCAGGACCACCGGATGTCACGTATTTTTTGACGAACGAAATGTGGATAATTGAGTAGTGTTAGTATGTACTAAGATCGCATGCCCACCTGCTAACTTGGTTAGACGGCTAATATCAAAGTTTCAGGTAATCAAGGTATTATAATACTCATAGGTATAATAAGTCATGATTACATCTCACGCTACTGACAACCACTAACAAGTTAAGAGGATTGTGAACCTGTAAATTTTCATACAAAAAGCGATAACGTTTTTCCCCCCTTAAACATAGTCTAATTTTCATAATTTTTGGAAATGTTGTAGATATAATCAAAATCTAGGTCCGTACGTTTTTCTTTTTTTGAAATATTGCGTACGACAGAAGTTATTAGCATCTAAATATCTATATTTTTGATCTAAAAACTTCCTCCAGCGTTTTTATTTTTTTAAATTAAACTAAACTGAATTACAAAAAAAGGAAAACGTACAGACCTAGATTAAGGTGTACTGAATCTAATGAGACCAAAATCGTCTCATTTCGTTAATGTTTAGGGGGGTGAAAACGTTATCGCCCGAAACAATATTTCAAAAAGGAAATGTAGGTAATTGAGTCTAAGACTTGCAACTCTCTCTATCGCACCATACGGGTCGGGGGCAGGGGCATATTTTAGACTGTAGTGATGTTGAAAGTGCTATCGATATTATTATCTCCTAGGGAGGAGAAGGTAATATCGATATATCGATCGATACTGAAAGGATTCAATCCAAAGTTTAGAATTTTATTATACTCGTAAGATTGTAACTAAGCCGTATCTGTACATTAAATATTTTTTGGAAAATATTATTGAAATAAACATTATTATCGATACAGAGGCCGAATCTATAGTTTTTTGAATTTTTGTCTGTCTGTCTGTATGTCTGTCTGTCTGTTACCACGTCACAGAAAAACCACTGGAGGGATTTTGATGAAATTTGGTATGGTGGTAGCTGGTTATCCGGATCAACATATTATAGCATTACCGCGGGAAAATATCTCATTTCTGAGAAAAAATACAAAACTGAAAATATATATATATATAAATATATATATAAATATATATATAAATATATATATATATATATATACAGGGTCATTTTTAATTTACTGAAGACCTTTTGGGAATATACTATTTACATCATAACAACAACCTCTGTAACAAGAAAAAAAAAATATTTCTTAAATTTTCAGTTTCATACAAAAATAAAAATATTTTCTATATCATCATCATCATTATATCTGGCCAAGTTTGAATGAGTAAGGACCACTTCCTACACCCCTCCACCCCTCGCCCACCACCGGTCACGTGCTTTCTTTTGCTAATTGCTGGACTATTACCGTTTAGAAGGAGCAATAAAAATACTTTTATTTTTGTAAAATTTATATTTTTAATTCTATATTCGTTATAATTTATAATATTCGTTATAATTTTTTCGAAATTATCGATATTTTATTAGTTTTTGGAGTTAATTTTATTGATTTTTCTGAAAAAAATGATTTTAGGGCAATTACAGAAAGAAATGAAAATCATTCGTAATCTAATCTTGTTTATTCATTAGTTAAAAATATATTTTAAAAAATTAAGTTGATATATTTTATAAAATTTAGTCATAGATATGTTAAAAAATCGTAAATCATCATCATTCATGATCAGGTCATTTTATGAATTTCTATTCCTTATATACCTGCTAACATTATAAAATCATAAAACTTCAGGTTTTCAATAAAAAATATATTTTAAAAATAAAAGGATTCCGATGGGTCTATTAGTACATAAACAACAAAAAATTCTAAAACTTTCAACTTTTGGAACGAGATTTTTGTAATTGATCTAAACCACCTATTTATTTTTTTATGATTTTTTGAAGTCATCAATCTAAAGAAGTCAAATTTTAAATGATATTCGCCACAGAATTGTAATTTAGAGTTATTTCAGTTTATGAATAAAGGTGCGATGTAACTTGTAGGGAATGTATATTGTACGCAAACCGTTAAAATAATAAATATTAGATAAACTTTGAAATTGCTCTTGCGCCGAGTCGCGCCGCCCCCGCCCCCGCCCCCCGCAAGCGCCCGCGCGTCACCGGCTGCTGCTATCATAGTGTGTGTGAGAATTTGCGTATGTTGTATTTGTGTTGTTCACTGCCGGGGGGATGCAAAGCGGTATGAAACAGATAGCATTTTTAAAAATACCTACTCTCGCCGCGTATCGGCACTTCACAATCCTCTTAATTATAAGACTATGATGAAATAGTACAATGAGTTTTTATTTATTGCAAGATAAAGATATCGATATATAGGTACTCTCGCGTTAGAGAACTTGTTAGGATTTAGGGCTCATAATCCAATCAGCTCAGATCAATACCCATCTATACTAATATTATAAAAAGATGGTCTGTTTTTTTATTATGTTCACTTGAACGGACTAATTTCTAAAAGTACCGGTGTTATTTCGAAAATTCCTTTTGTATTTTATAGGCTATCTAACTTCACGTCACAATAGCGATTGAGAAAAATTATACTAAAAGCACTTAATTAAATTATACTAAAAGCACTTAATTAAACACACGCGAGAGGAGCCGCGAGGTGAAATGCTAAACAGTTTTAAAAACGTAGGCAAAAGCAAAATTTGTAATATAATATTTATTATTTCCACCGATAGGGCTTATATTTAATCCCTCCACGACCGCGGACACGCCGGCGTTACAATTAACAATAGATTTCTTAGAAATTAACAAATTTCTTAGAAATTTACCTGGAGGTGCTAGGTATATAGTATGTATTATTAATTATATTTTTCTTTTCAGGTAATGACAGCAAAGGACGTAACTTGCACCAGAGTGTACAAAGTACAATAAATACGTTTCAAAGACTGCAGGGCGGAGCCCTTACCCTATTTCCTATATTATTTTATATACCCACTAGCACAACTATTTTCATATTAATTTAGGTTATTTTGAATGTAGATTTTGAAAGACCCTGAGATTGTAAACGAATTGCTCGTATTGCTAAAGTATGATGTGTTAAGATGGCTCTAAAACGTACAGTTGTATAAGTTTTTCAGTGCATATTTAAATAAAGGTTTTTTTTTTACTTTAAATGTTTGGTTTTATTTCCTGCGTCATGTTATTTGTGCCCTAAACCTTTCTAGGAGCAAGAGTTCTTGAGAGAGAATGTTAATTAGGTTTTTTTATCGATCAATCTTATCGTAATTTTTCTACTCAGTGACATTGGAAAAGAAACTGTACCCAAACTTCAACCGATAACTACGTCTAAAAATCATGAAAAAAAGATTGATATCTGAAGGATTAAATATGAACAATGAAATTATAGAAACGGGTGTATATATTATATCTTTTATATAAATAAATGGCTTTGTAGGATGTTAGATACATACCTCACAACAGGACCTGAGAACAGCCGCATGGATTTTACTATTTTTATATTTTGTGAATTTAAATAATCCAGGCCTACTTTTAAACCTACATAATACGCTACCTAGTACCTATATTTACACATTTTAGGATAAAATTGAGAGACAATTTAGATTATCTCAGATTTATTATAAAATATAGCTGCCCATAAGATCTCCTGGTAGTAAATAAATATAATTCTTATATTTAAAATCCAAAAAAACCCAAACAATAAAGAAACTTCATTCAGGCCATTTCAATGTGCTTAAACACGATATCTCTACAGTGTGTTAGTTAAGGATTGGGTAACTTGTAGATTCCAGGTGACGCTGCAACATCAGACCAAGGTTACCATATCATGGTATCGTTGCAATGTCATTAAAGTAATGGGATACAAAGTTTCGAATCGATTAGATCTATTGAAGTTTTACATATCCTTTGACCATCGAACGAACGAACAAACACTCTCCATCAAGTTACCTCTCAAATAAAAAAACTAAATTAAAATCAGTTCATTCGTTTGGGCGCTACGATGACAGATACGCACGTTAAACTTATAACACCGTTCTTTTTGCTTCGGCGGTTAAAAAATGTATACATATAAATTTTCTAAGTGAAGAAAACGAAATAATGCTCCCGTAAATCTTTGCGTACCTAATTTTACTGATTATAATTATTGTAAAATCAACAATGAGTTTGTAGTGTTCGTTCACAGATGGCGCTTTTATTTTACTACGGTTAAAAATAAAAACTTATATTCATTGAAACATGTTTAATTAAATTTAAGATGAATTTTGCAATTGTTAATAAAATAAAACAGTTCGAATGGGTTAACGACATCCTGATATAAGGAAACAAAAATTAGCGCTGTCCAATTTCCTTGTATGAGATGGCATCTATCTATACTAGCACAGTGTCAGGCTATTCTTCAGGCTGTACACCTTATAGAACTTTATAATATACTGAGGCACATAGTGATAGCGACATCTGGCGGGAGAAAAAGGCAAAATTCTTCCAGATTTTGGCTAATTTTTTTATAAAAATATGGTATGTTCCAAATAGTTCTTGCTATCCGTCAATAGATGGCTAAAAGATTTATTTTGTTTTATTATTGTTAAGTTGTTTTATTTTATTTACACATATTTATACAAATTAATTTTCAAGAATTATAATTCTATTAAGATTGTATTTCAAAAAGACCTATGTAGAATTAATCTGAATGCATCTTTACTTACTTAAGATTTGTGAATAGGTACACTACAAAATTACAGACTAAGCATAATGTCAGTAATTTTGCCTCCGGCATGAACCTTTTCGAAAAGGTAGCATTATAATGATGTTTTTTAGCTGCGGTGGTTTCTTGCGTTGTTAAACTTAGTTTATTCGATGCGTGTCACTATCGAGTACGTTTTGGCTACGCCTTCGGAACGCGATTTACGACATCTGTCAAAGTAAGCTCTAGTGGTCCAGTCTTGAATCCAGGTTGTAGTGTACTTGTATTCATGCAGTGAATTTTGTGTCGAAAAGGATAATTTAAAATGGCAGTGCTTTCATCTGTATATCTTTTCAAGTGATATATAAAATACTTTCACGTATAATGACAAGAAATCGTAGTGTTGTTGTGTTTTGTGACTAGCTGGCTCTTGTGCCTGTTTCGGAAGGTACACTAGCCTTTGTGGATTAAAATAAGCACAAGTAAGTAAATATTTATACTAGCTGAGCACTGTTGAGTAAAGAATGCGTATCTCAATTTGTATAGTACCCACATACCTATGTGTAAATCGATTTAGAATTATCATAACTTATATAAACCGCAGGATAATTTTTATTATATTATTCAATTACCGATACAAAATAATTCATATTAAGTTTTAATATTAATCGAAATTACTTATATATTATCCAAATTCAAATATGACAAAAAAATCATACACGAAATCGATCTAAAAAAAATGAAATAAGTATACCGAAATATCAAGTTTTATATAAATATTTTAATATTATACCTATCCCTAGCAAATATAAAACTATGTACATTACATTAAACATTTCTAAAATTATAAGTTTCTAATAGTTTCTGTTGCTATTATTTTATTATGTAGATTGTGCTGCTTGTATTTTCAAAAATTTGCTTGATCTTTTCATGTAAATATCCATTACATAGTAAATTAAGAAAGATTACTTAAAGTTCAAGAAATAATAAGTATTGATTAGTAAGTACTTAATTTATTTATCATCAGTGAAACTCACTGTTGTTACATCTGGGTCAGATAGGACCTATAATTATTTCTAGCTTAATTTGGAGAAAATTCCTACAGTAAATAACTATCATCTTGGGTTGTATTATGCATATAAGCAAAATTACTCTACTGCACTTTATGGAGACTCGATATGTCTCCGTAAAGTGCAGTTGCCACAATTTGTTTTTAGTATTGAAATTTTGACAAAAATGAGTTTTTTTTAATATATGTCAAGTATCTTTGTTTTAAAGGTATCAGATGAATTAACTTTTTATAGTATTTATTTTTCCAAAATATTTTTGAAATTGCAATTAATTAATTAACATTTTAAAGGTTTTTTTCAAAATCTTAATAATAATTCATAAGTAAGGTATACTTAATAAAGTCCTTAACTGTGGATAGGACTAGTCATTTATTACTTATAAATACTACTTTTAAAGTATATTTATGTATAATATTTGTATGGCAGAATATTGTAGCAAAGTAGGTATATAATATTTTTAAGTTAAATGGCAACAAGATATACAATAAGTCTAAATCTATCATTTAGGTTCCTATTTGCTTGCCTTTTCATTTTCTCATATATTTGTAATAAATAATGAGTTGTATGAGTATAAACAATAACACAGTATGATTATTTTTTGATTATCATTGAATTATTGTAATATTTAAAATATATTATAAATATGTAATATGTATACTGAACTTATAAAAGAATTAACCTTATGTTTTTGCTAAGTCAATATGTAAAGTTTGTAAAGCAAAATATTTGCCATTAACATGAGTTTTATTATTTCTAATATTCTTTAATATTAAAACTGGTAGGTTTCCATTCACCCACACTAAATTATAACAAAATCAATTCATTCTGGTGATAAAGTCATAATACATTTAAATTGGCTATTTAATTTTAATAGCACTTAATTATACTCTGTTTTAATATTTAATTTGGCGTCTGATGCGCTACGTTATTCCGCTTCCGAGTTACGTCTCTGGCGAGGGCGACGAAATCGATAACGCACCGGGGACTCTGTATTCGTCAGCTGTGATCCCCTTGCTTTCTTACACTAAGTAATATCAAATTTTCTTTATCATTTAGAAATAAAAAAGCCTAAAAATAAATTACCTGTTTTGTAGGAATCATAATAGAATTGGTCAATTGCGAGTCAGACTAACGCCTGGAGAATTCGTACGTGTTAAGTATTGACCGATAAACTAGAACTATACGTTAAATAGTGGTAGACATTTGGCCAGTATTTATGATTTGTTGATATACTTTAGGCTATTATCATACCAAGTTACATTACTATTACGCATTTATTACAGAGCAAGTGCAACAACCTCAACAAATATCATACGACGGACTTTTTCGGGTCACTTTTTCCGTTCGGACTCTAGCCCGTAAGGAATGCTAAAAACTTATTTGTATTAGTTATCATTTCAATTGTAGTTCGTTTAATAACTTTGCGTGCGCAACTAACGTAACTAGTAGGAAACTGACCCACATTGTATATGACCAAAGACCAAATGAGCAAATGTCTACTAAATCTAAGGCTGAATTACATTTGTTTATTTTATAATTTTTAGCCTTTTACTTTTAGTTTTTATGCCAGAATTCTGGTAGTTTTATTTTATGAACACTCTTTATTAGTTTGTAACTATCTATGTAATTAAATCTTGGAAATCGATTTTAACCTACTTACTTACGATTTGGAACTATGAAAGCGTGCGAAATTCGGTTGGCAACACAATATAAATACTAACAAATAAGTCGTTCGATTTTAAGCCATTGCAGTTCCTTTTGATAATAAACCCCATACATTTACATTTGGTCAACAAATTTATTCTTTGTTTTTTTTTTTAATCTATACATATAATAAAATTCTAAGTAAGTCGAATCTGTACATTAAATATTTTTTGGAAAATCTTATTGAAATAGACACTATTATCGATTATCGATATAGAGGTCGAATCTATAGTTTTTCGAATTTTTGTCTGTCTGTCTGTTACCGCATCACAGAAAAACTACTGGAGGGATTTTGATGAAATTTGGTATGGTCATAGCTGGTTATCCGGGTTAACATATAGGATACTTTTTACCGCGGGAAAATATCTCATTTCTAAGAAAAAATACAAAAACTGGTTAGAATAAAACCACGACGATACTATATATTTTAGCAAGGTAACCCACTAAATAAGGCA